GAACTAATCTGCTTAACCCTCACACGTCGAATTCGACAGGATAGTCGAGTATATATATATATATATATATATATATATATATATATATATATATATATACACCTAGTGAGCCAGACAAACCTACCCAGGTTTCACCTAAACGGATCGTCAGGGAAAGCCTTATGATCCGTTTAGGTGAAACCTAGGTAGGTTTGTCTGGCTCACTAGGTGTATCTAGGTCTGCTCTATGGTTCTATTGAGCGCTTCTGTTAGTTAGTTGTTTACTCGTATCGGGGTTTTTTTTTCTTTGGGCTTCAGACTTGTATCTGTGCGATTTTTTGTCGGCAGAACCTTTTTTTCCCTCGAGATTGATTTGATTATTAGTAAATCAAAAATTCGAGGGGTTTTTCGAAACGAGTCTAGTTATCTATAAATTATATATATATATATATATATATATATATATATATATATATATATATATATATATATATACAGGTTGTAATCCAAGCGAGTCATATTAACACAATACAGAATTTAAAATTAAATATTAAATGTTAAAACTGACTCACAAAGAGCTCTCAATGTTTATTTTCATTAAACAGGGCAAAATATTTCATACAATTGGAATTAAGATACCATTAGTGAATGATCATTTTTACCCGCGAATTTTAAATTTAAAATTCACAAGATTTTTCAAACCGTTTATGGTGTCTGTTGAAGAGGAATGGTCAGCTAATGGTATAATTTTTCTGCTGCCACTTAATTTAAAGACGATTTGATGTAAGTTGGTTCATACTCTCTGTACAAACAACTATTTTTATTTCATTCCACTGGATTTCACAATTAATTTCTATTATTCCCAAATTTATTTCCAAGTTATAAAAATTGTTATTGTACAATTTAAAATTCACAGGATTTTTCAAATTGTTTATGGTGTCAATTTGCTAAAGAGGACTGGCTAGTTGGTGAAAGAAAGAGAGAACAAAATACGAAAAAAACCCGCTGTACACACACAGACACATACATACATACATACATACACACACACACATATATATATATATATATATATATATATATATATATATATATATATATATACAGCGGGGGGAGAAATATTCGTTCACTATGAATTTTTTTTATATTTAACATAGCTTTTATAAAATAATGTTATAATCCATACAATAATTATATACTATGGCATAATGCTGCAATATGCAATATGAAAAACAATATCAGAAGCATTTGTTATTCTATAGCCGTGGAATTCGCAAGGAGCTGCTTCCCTCATTAACCTAAGAATTATGAAGGAAAAATGTCAAATGTTCATGGGTATTTCTAATAAGATTAATAATGAAAAAATACGAACGCTTAATCTTTTTTTTTTCTGCTATGAAATATGCAAAATATTAATTTTACAGCCAAGCCTGAATAACACAAATGTATATTTTATAGCCACTCCCAACGCTACCCGTGTTTGCTTCACGGATAAACACATAATGGCCTATTTTTGATGAGGTCTTGGCTTTGGGGTAACACGGTGAAGGTCATTTACCAGATGCTGAATGAATGGAAATCATTATTGTAAATGCGAAAACATTAGTAAAATTTCATGATTTAATCATTGAATTTTGTAGATTCCAAAGTAATCTCAACTGTTTAGCTTATTGCAAATATGGAAAGGACACTCACTGGTGGTAAAATATGCTGGAGGCGAAGCGTTAGATATGTAATATATATATATACAATTGCTAAAAGAAAACAATGTAATATGTCAATTATATGTTTAATAAATAAACATTACCATAGAAATGCATTGTAAATAACGAAGAAAAGGATTGTCACTGGTCAGGAATTAATACAAGCATTACTGACAGAATTGGACTATTATATTATAATAGAAAATCATTTACTATAGCAAAGCATTTCAAATGAGGAAGAAAGGGATTGTCAATGGTCAGGAATTAATGCAAGCCTTATTGACAGAATAGAGACATTATATGTATAATAGATAATTATTTACTACAGAAATGCATTGCAAATGAGGAAGAAAGGGATTGTTAATGGTCAGGAATTAATACAAGCCTTAATGACAGAAATTGGCTATTATATTATAATAGATAAATATTTACAATAGAAATGTATTTTAGTCAAATGGGGTGGATTTTTCTAGTTCCACGTTTCATGCCTTTTCTGCATACTTCTGTTTCAGTTAATTCCCAAGTATTTATAAGTCCCAAGTTTATAAGTCCCCAAAGTTCATTCACTAATGTCCCCAAGGGCACAGCGGATAAAAGCGTTGGTTGAAGTCACGCGAAGAGTTGTGAGTTCAATACCTGGCCACCGCAGAGTTGAACAAAAAAATGACTTGGAAAGTTGAGTTACTAAAGGGAATTAACTGAAACTGACACATCCAGAAAAGGCATGGCATGTGGAACTAGAACAATCTACTCTGGTGGACGAAATAAAGCTTTCGGTTCGAAATTTCACCTGAAGAAAACCAAAGCGTACAAGGGCTGAAACGTCGTGAATATGGAAATAAAGATGAGGACAACAGTCTGTACGATGTAAATAGTTTAAATAATTACAATATCTAATCTCAGCTATATGGACAGATCCTGAAGAAGGTCAGAGTGTACAACGGCTGAAACCTCGTGAATATGGCAATAAAGATGAGGAAAACTGTCTGTCCGATGTAAATAGTGTAAATAATTACAATATCTAATCTCAGAAATATAGAGAGATCCTGAAGAACGCCGGAGTGCAAAACGCATACAGCAAGACTTTTCGTTTTAAACCAGAGATCCTATGTTGAAAACTTGTCTGTCCCTGTCATATGATGTTGGAGTTCAGCAACAGACATACAAACCTTGTCACAAAACTCATACAAGTAACCTGCATGTCTTTTCTGGTCCTGTTGTATTAACAGGACTTGTACCCACAGAAATAAAACATAGATCTGAATAAGATAAACATCATTTTATATATATATATATATATATATATATATATATATATATATATATATATATATATAGGTCCTTTCGACCAACGCTTTTTCAAAAAGATATTCGTTGGCGATATACAAACACAATCAAGATACATTAATAATCTCCAAGTAATCACAGGTTGGTTTTCAACTGTGAAGAATTCTTAAATGTTTTGATTCGATGTGCCGCCGATTATGGGGACACATTCTTTTCCATTCTACATAGTTCCCGCTCGATATACCATCTTAGAGTCTTCGAAGCTTTGTATATCAAATTCTAGCAGCCGAGCCTATGCAAACAAAAGGAGCATTTTATACGTTCATTACGGTTTATTGAAGGTCAAAATTTGCCCGCCTCCTTGCAAGCACAACAACTGACTGACCATAATGCAAATTTAAAAGTGACTGTTACACACCGAAAGTCGAAACAACCTGCATCTATACAACATTGGACAATAAAACAAGACTTTAAGAATTCTTTACAGTCGAAAACCACCCTGTGATATCCTGGAGATTATTAATGTGTGTTGATTGTGTTGTGTTGGACGGAACAAAAAACAGTTTAACTGACTAAATAGCGAAATGCCAGAAATGTACCTACAATAGAATATCTTGCTCTGCCATTGCAAAAACGTGGTTTTTCGCATTTCAAATAGATTCGTTCATCTAATATTAAGCTAGAATGCGGAAACTATCTAACTTATTATAGTGCCTCCAATTTTATTTTAGAGAGTACTTCCATAAAATGTAAAATCCGGCAGAATTCAAGAAGCTGATCCCAGGCCTTTACTGCGCAGAGTGTCAAGGGACAAAGTATCAAATAGATTCGTTCGTCTATTACTTTGTTGACGACGTATATGTCGCCTTTATTTAAAAGTTTGCGCCTTGATAATTTCCATTATGAACGACATGGCAAAATATAGATCGGAATTATATTGTTTAAAACTTGAAGGAATAATAGAATTCTGGGAAATTTTACCGTTGGGGCAGTTTAAATTTAAAGTCAGTCCATCCGAAAATCAATATTAGTAACAACAATTGGGTGAAACTGAGACACATCCCCAAATTGGGGTTAACAATTTGAATGGGGTGTGGCCCTGAAAAGGGCCGTTTTTGCGTTTTCAATCTTGCAATGAAGGAACCTCTTCCATGGATTGTCATAATAATAATATACGATAATTTTTATTTATAATATAAATTTTTAGAATTCTAATAATCTTTTGCGTTAGATTTCAACTTTCTAAATTGATTGTACACTGTTTTTACAGATATTAAATTTTGCCTCTGATTTTTGCGCAAAGTGTAAACAATCAGTTTTTTCAATTTTTCACCTTCAAGTTTATAAATTTTTTTCCAGCCAATTTGAACTCAAAACCGGCTCTGAAGAATTATCTATCAAACAAAAAAATACATCGAAATCGGATGAAAACTGTGGAAACGCAAAAGCAACATCCGATCATACACACACATACATACACACAACCCATTTTGAGAATTATAGAGGTAAGAAGACTCTCAATTCAGTTTTGGTAAAAAATAGAGCGTAATAACCCCCCCCCCCCGGCAAAATCGGACCGGTAATCAATTATTATGGAGGCTTAATCACTTTTAAGGCTACTGTTTATTCAATGATGCTAAAGCTAAGCAATATCTTAATCGATGATCTGAACCGAGTTTTTTTAAAATTATGAAGATAATCTTCGTTTTTATTTTGTTCAACATTTTTTCCTTTTGAAACTTTTGTCTTTTCGACATGTTGTCTATTCTTCATTTGGTCAATATGACTCTTTTTCTGTTCGGCACTTTGTCCATTCGACACTTTGTTCGATCGACATTTTGTCAATTTGTCATTTTGCCTGACCTATTAACCCTTTTCTCATTATACGTCACAGAAATTCCATCCCTCTTTCTGACTGGATGGATGCTTACTTGTTCCTATTTTCTATAAGACTTCCTCACTACTTCATTCTTTCTATGGTATTCTTAGCATTGATCAGTAGTAACATGTCTTTACTGCTTCATCCACATCACGTTGAAACACTGGCTCTCGTACGATCACCGAAGTTAAGCAACGTCAGACCCGGTCAGTGCCTAGACAGGTGACCGCTTGGGAATGCCAGGTGCTTGCATCTCGGGTAGTTAAATGGATAATTTGCTCGGAATTTTTCATCAGAAGTATTTATATTAGATTAAAATTTTAAAATAATTATATACAGGCAGGATACTTGCATGCTAAGTAAAAGGTATTCTATTGTAGACACATTTCCGGCTTTTCTTCATTTAGTCAGTTCGACTCTTTTACCGTTCTGCACTTTGTCCATTCGACACTTTGTTCGTTCTATTCTTAGCCTATTCGATATTTTGTCTGTTCAACATTTTTTTCATTTGTCATTTTGTCAGTTCGACATTTTGTCCGTTTGTCACTTTGTCTGTTTGGCATTTTATCCATTAGTCATTTTGTCTGTTCGATATTTTGTCCGTTTTTTTTTATTTTGTTTGTTCGACATTTTGTCCATTCGACATTTTGTCCGTTCGACATTTTGTCCGTTTGTCATTTTGCCCATTAGTCATTTTGTCCGTTCGATATTTTGTCCGTTTGTCATTTTGTCTATTCGACATTTTGTCCGTTTGTCATTTTGCCTGATCGTCATTTTATCCATTTGTCATTTTGACATTTTATCCGTTTGTCATTTTGCCTGTTCTACATTTTGTACATTTGTCATTTTGTCTGTTTCGACATTAAGTCTATTTGTCATTTAGTCTGTTCGACATTTTGTCCATTTGTCATTTTGTAAGTTCGACACTTTGTCCTTCGGCACTGTGATCTACTACCGAATAAAGTCTGAATTTTTCCTGCTGACAAGTTTCCCATATTTAAATCATCACACAGATCTCCAAGGATACCAAATACGGCTCAAAATTCATCGGTTATTAAATCTTTATTTTGTAATGTAAGCTGCTTACTTTATGGTCGTAGGATTTAAAATCACATCCACGTTCCGGTCAAAGTAAAACAGACTGAAGATAAATACGTTTTAAAGGAATTAAAATACAAATGCTTCATCGAAAGAAATCGGATCAATACTAATACCTAAATTCTTCATCTTAGCATTTAAGAAATATTCAATGAATTTCATTTGTTTTCGCCACTAAGTTTTTCATTTTTTTTAAAATCATATCACCTCAGACAAGGCAGTAAAGCTACTAAGACACAAGAATTTACTGTGTGAAAGAATATGAAAAAAAGAAAAGCGTTATTAAGGAGCGAGAACATTTAAAGAAGAGAAATCAAGAAAACAGATAACGATTGACATTGCATTTAAATTTTTGAAGATCAAGGTTCGAGGGGAAGCACGCAGCCGGAAGCGAGTTCCACTAGCGAGAAGTGGGAGAAAAGAAACTGTTAGGCTATAACTTACATCTCTCTCTCTCTCTCTCTCTCTCTCTCTATATATATATATATATATATATATATATATATATATATATATATGTGTGTGTGTGTGTGTGTGTATAGAAAAGGGCACAAGGAAACAGCTTTAGATCGGTTGGAAAATTGACTGAAACTTGAGACGCCGGGTCAGGACCTATAATATTGCTGATTCTTCTTTGGATTTTATCAAGAATCTCTAAATACACAACAGGATCATATGTGGCAGCAATATTCAAAGCATGGATGAATGGTAGACTTATAAATATATATGATAGATTAAGAGGAGAAAGGTTTCAACTGTTAATGGGGAACGCGGAGAGCCAGACATTTCTGAAATGGCAAAGTCACGCTTCCAAGAGATTGGATGCAAAATTCATCTTACGTGATAAAGAAATGTTATGTTTTTTTTTTCAGTATCTGTCTATATTTCTGATATGAGGTATAATGTCCTCATTTTTGTCGCCGTATTTATTACATTTCTTCCCTTCAGTATCTGTCTATATTTCTGTGATGAGGTATTATGTACATTATTTACATTATTCAGACTATTGTCCTCATCTTTGTCACCATATTTATTACAACGTTTCGGCCGTTGTACGCTCCGGTCTTCTTCAAGTGGTTGGAATGTCGAACTGAACCCTTTATTTCGCTCAGGGGCACATTGCCCAGTGGATAAAGGCGTTAGTTAGATCCAGTGACAGGACCCAAAGAGTGTGAGTTCAATACCTGGTTAAGGCGCTGGAGAACTTGGAGAGGGGAATTAACAGGAGATAACTGATAACTGACATCCATTAGACATGTCACATGGAACTAGAACAGTTTACCCCAGCGAGCGAAGTAAAGGGTTCAGTTCGATATTCCAACCACCTGAAGAAGGCCGGAGCGTACACCCGCCGAAACGTTGTAATAAATATGGCGACAAAGATGAGGACAGCAGTGTTTTGGCAGGCATAAATAATAGTTTTTTCGGTATACTATTTGCAGGTCGGAAACTCTAGAATCGAGCAAACGCGGAAGTTGAAATATCTGGGAAGCGTTCTGACAGAGAACGGTAAATGCGACACTGAGATCTGTAGACGTATTGGGATGGCCAAGGACGCATTCCAAAAGCTGGGCAGAGTATTGCGAGGCAGGAGGATTTCATTGGTGACAAAGAAAAGAGTACTGAGCTGTTACGTGACATCTGTCCTTCTTTACGGCAGCGAATGTTGGATGATTTCCTCAAAGATGAAGAAGAGACTCGAAGCGACAGGATGCTAAGGATGTCATGGACCGAGCGTGTGAGCAATGATGAGGTCTTACAAAGAATACAAACAAGAAAGAAGCTTATACTTAACATCAGGAAGAGGCAGCTGAAGTTTCTAGTACACATAATGAGGAGGAGAGCCTGGAGAATCTGATACTCACGGGTCGAATAGAGGGAAGGAGAGACAAGGGAAAACAACTCATGACATACCTACTTAAGCAAGTGGGTGACAGAACGTGGTCTTGGGGGGGGTGGCGGAGAGAAGGAACTTGTTGAGAGCAGCAAGGGATAGAAGGAGGTGGAGAGCCATGATCGCCTACGTCCTGAAAGGACACGAAACATAGACAGAAAAGAAGAATTACGTTTTAACTACAAATGATGTAGAAACAAATTCAACTTTATTTAGATAAATTTATTTAAATATTATTTACCGAAAATATAATTACCTTCATTCTCAACGACTGCAAGCCAACGAGAAGACAAATTTAAAGAAATCTGGGTTTTGCCTGAAATTCATAAATTGTTTTCCTCTTCTTTCTTTTTTCTGTATATCCTACTATGCAGGGAAATATCTAACTACTGAATCTGATGAGTATCGAAGATGTAGAAGAACTTCCCATACAATCTTCCTTGTGCTTGTTTGGCTGAGTGTGACCTAGCTTTTCTCATTTTCTTTTTACCATGGTTGGTCGCTTTTCACGTAATGCTTCGTTGACCTGATTACATTTCTAACAATATACATCTACAATGATTGTACTTTAATGTTCCTATAGTTCATAATGGAAGGCTACTATATATATATTTCAGGATATTACACCCCAAAAAAATGTCAAAATCGCTACACAATTGCAGTTGTATTTCGATGTGTATCAATGCATCTCATCAGGCGATTGTAAATTACTTGCGAGAGGATAATTTACAATCGCCAGTAATTTACATTACGCTTGATAAGATGTATTGATACACATCGAAACACGATTGGAATTGTGCATCGCTTCTGATGTGTTTCCGGTGTAATATCATAAAATAAATAATATTGCTTTGCTTTGTATTGAGCCCTCTACGAACGTTGGAATTGTACTTTATTCGTTCTCATCTTACCTATATATATATATATATATATATATATATATATATATATATCAGTTACGGTGGACTGGTCATGTCTTGAGAATGTCTGATGACAGGATACCCAAGATCCTAATGTACAGTCAGTTATATAAGGGCTACAGGAATGTAGGACGCCCATGGCTAAGATACAAAGACAAGTTGAAAAGCAACTTGTCAGCAGTCAATATACCACATAACATCCTTGAGCGCTTAGCCTTGGAGCGGGTAGTATGGAGATCAACGTGTTTTAGTGGACTCAGCAATTTTTAATATGCTTGTCTGAATCATCTTCAAGAAGCGAGAGCAAGATCTAAAAGGTCAAACAATCTAACCGTGATCTCATCTCACAATCCTCACACTTGCTCTATATGCGACCTCCTTTGTAAATCACTAGCGGGTCTTAAATGTCACTTAAGATTAGCGCATAAACTTTCATAACTGAATCAATAAGCTGGCAGATCCTCATACGTCAAAACCGACGGAGAGTCCATTATATATATATATATATATATATATATATATAATATATATATATATTTGAAATGGACAAAACCGACAATTAAAAAAGACATTTTATAAAAAGAATGCATAAACATAAAATATATATATATATATATATATATATATATATATATATATATAATTAGTAAATTAAAATATAAAAATCACATTTTAGTGCGGCCTCGTAGACTATTTCAAATTTATACCTTTCCAAAGAATACCATGGTGTAGACAAAGGAATTCTAACTACCACAAAACTACCACATTGGCTTTTGAAAATGACTGCGATAGACGAAAGTTCTTGGTTTAAACAACAAAACAATATGAACTTCGGAGAGTTTATCCACAACTTCGAGCACTATACTCAACACTATACTCGAAAATTGAAAAAATATGCAATAAAAAACTGAAAACCAGACAAGAAAGGTGAAAGGTATTAAGAAGCTGGACGCAAATTTACTGTAGATGTTCTAGTGATCAAAACACTTCCTAAACATTTTCGTTAACGTAAATTGCTTTCTCTTTTAAATAGAATAGCATTTTTAATAAAAATTATTATCACACTCACTACAGAGAGCAACTAATGCATTTAGTATGTTGTTTGTAAAAGATCCTTTTGGTGTCCATATAATCTTTTATTTAATTTTCCTTGAAGTTTCTCTTATGCATTCCTTGTAGCAATCATTACCGGTAATAAAATAAATTTCTCCTTCAAGTTTTAGCTTATTACTATTTCGCTTAGTATCAATTAAGTCTTTTATCATTTTAGGAGAACAAATTTTTATGTCGAGTTTAGATACATTCTTTTTAATTGTAGTTGTGACAGAGTTGGTGGGTAGAACAATATATTTTGATTTGTTGGGTTTGTCAGGGTGGACCGTTTTTCTATTTTGAAATATTTTATGAGCTTTTCGTTTCGCATTGAATATGAAACAGAGTATTGTAAGAGATTAAAATTCTTTTCAATATATTACTCCTCTTTATGTAAATACTGAGGGCCACAAATTCTGAGTGTTTTTAAATAGAATTTGGTGATTATTCCGGATTTCATTTTGCTGTTATGGTGAGAATAGAAATTTACGAGATTATTTTTATTATTGCGATAGACATTAAGTCAGTTTTTTTTCCACTAAAATTGTTCTTTGGTGTCTGTTAGGATCATTGAGTGATATGTACAGGCTAATTATGTTTTTAATTGATTTTTCGTCTTGCTTATAGAGTGCATTTGGTTACGATAGAATTAGTTAATGGTGTGTTTATTTTTGTTTACGTCAGGAAGGGAGGGGGGATCTTGCGTCATTTTTTTCTAAATTTCGTTATGGCTAATTTTATTTGTTATTCGACATTATTAAGGAAATTGTTGTTGATTATTTTTTTGTGTGTGTTGCTAAGTTTCTTATGGAGTATGTCCGAAGAAGAGATTTATTTAACTTGGTGAATCATGTTTTTATAACAGCTATTTTGTATCTGCAATGACATTCACTTTTGTAGTTGAGTGAACACGTGTTTCTGTTAATGTCTTTTTTATAAAAGAAGGCGGTAAAAGTATGGCTGATGGCATCGGCTAATGCGTCAAGGAAAGGCATTATATTGTTAATGGTGAGTTTGTAAGTAAAATGTAGGACAGAGACACTTTCAAAGGTTTCCTTTCTAAGTCGTTGGTTAATATGGATATATATATATATATATATATATATATATATATATATATATATATATATATATATATATATATATATATATATGTCGATATATATATATATATATATATATATATATATATATATATATATATATATGTCGATATATATTTCTTTATGAAAGGGATTTGTGCATATAAAACCCGGATATAAGGGTTACACTGTAATAACTTTTATAATCCATAGCCCAAATAAATAGTTTAAACACCCTACAAAAAAGATAACCCTTTATGAAGTCGTCAAAAAACTAATGTTACGGCAGTTTTTGTTTTTTGTTTTTTGTTTTTTTTTTATATGCACAAATCCCTTTCATAAAGAAATAAAATAAAAAAATAAATAAATCTCCATAGACACGGAAACCAGACTAGGCTAAAACATCTTCCGTTTCAAATTTAGACACCCCCACCTTACCCTGACTTGACATCTATGAAAGTAACTCTATACTGATATTTATTAACACCCAAAACACGCCTACCCAATTTAAACAATTCGCCCTAGCTGTTACCATGGAAACTTTGATTTCAATTATTAAAACACGTAAATTTCAGAAATACGTTATTCCAAAAAAATTTCGCTTGAAGATGGAACAGAGCTTACTTTCACTCAATTTAATTCAAATAATTATATTGAAGTTTTCGGCTCTTGTTTTGAAACATGAGACCTCTTATGTCGCGAGTTGGAATCATATTTTTAAATAAATAATTATATATATATATATATATATATATATATTGGATAAATTATGGGATATTTCTCTTTGATCTATATGCTATATACAAATGGAAAATCGTTTATCAAATTCTTAACGTTCAATGAATAATTTGTTTTTACGGCTTATCAACCCTTCGCAGATTATTTAAAGCCAGAAAATATTTTTAGAATGTAAGAATTTTCAGAGATAATAATGATCTGCTGATGCAAGTCATACTAATTAACCCATAGCTGGAGATACAATAGGTGGATTCATAAATTTCCCAAGAGTTTTTGTGCGTAAGTGAATAGAACAAATCCGACTGGAATTGGAACTCGGCCTTCCAATGACTAATCCCGAGCTATTCTCCACCCGCACATCCACCGCAAAACACTTGGTATTCCCATCTGGATACTGACTTTTTTTTTTTTTACTTTCTTCGATCGCACGAGAACCGGTATTTCATCGTGATATGGCCGTATACTTCGCAAATTCTATCTGAAAAACAACATCATTCCGACGGGTCATTGAATCAAAACAATGCTGTGAGAATTTCTCATTAAAACAAGGGTTTATAACGAGAAATTGTTTTCAAGAAACCGTGCTCGCTCATGCTTGAACTAAATAGGTTGTCTTTTAAGTGGTGTGCAGAGAAGACATTTCCCGCAGCAGGAGCTGATTTATAAGAAATGCCTGTTCATATGATCGCATTTTAGACAGTGACTTGCCTTGCAACAAAAGACTGCTTGCTTCGTATATCGCATAAATTACATGCCATTCCCGCAACAGGAAACAAGAATCAACCATACTAATAAAGAGAATGTATGACAAAGACATTGCTTTTAATTTTTAATAGCTAACTAGTAAGGTCACTCGGAATTTGGGGGGAAATATACATCTATCAAATAGAGTTTAATTATTCAATAATAGTTTAATTATTCGGGCCAGCCATCGCATCTTAATCATTATACGTCGATTTACGACCTTACCATGTTGAAACACCGTTCTCGTGCGATCACCGAAGTTAAGCAACGTCGAGCCTGATCAGTACCTAGATGGGTGACCACTTGGAAATACCAGGCGCTGTAGACGTGGGTGTGCGGGTGGTGTAATGGATAATGGTCCGGAATTGTTAAACGGAGAGACGAGTTCCAATTCCCGTTGGGTTCGTAATAAGTAAGGTCACTCAGAGTTCTTTGGGAAATATCATCATCGTTATCATCATCTCCTTGCTTTTGTAATCGTTGGTGGCGGGTGGGGGTCCGAATGCAAAAGCCAGACTAAAAATTCTATGTTTTTATAACAGCTATTTTGCATCTGCAATGACATTCACTTTTGTAGTTGAATAAACACGTGTTTCTGTTAATGTCTTTTTTTAATAAAAGAAGGCGGTAAAAGTATGGCTGATGGCATCGGCTAATGCGTCAAGGAAAGGCATTATATTGTTAATGGTGAGTTTGTAAGTAAAATGTAGGACAGAGACATTTTCAAAGGTTTCTTTTTTAAGCCGTTTCTTAATATGGATATGTCGTCGATATATATATATATATATATATATATATATATATATATATATATATATATATATATATATATATATATATATACAAAACAATAAATTCAACAAAATTTACAAATACATGAATTATTCACAAAAAACTCAAAATACACAAAAAAGGTTAATGGTTTAAATGGCGAGACATCCATCATCGCAAACAATTCAAATAATACACAAAAACCTCCAGATCCGTTATGAATGAATTGATCCTTGTTTATATAAATTTCACCATATTTGGTATGCCGTATTAGTTGTTTTCTAAAAACAAATAACAAGCATTTTCGTCTGTTCCTACAGACATCTTCAGGTATATAATAGATGTTGTTCTTGTTTTTTTCTCTTAGTAATAAGAGGACATTTAATATAGTTCATGCCACTTTGACATATAAAATTTACCAGTAAAAATTTGTTCATCACTATATTTGGTATAAACGCAAACACTTTAAAAATATAAATCAAACTCAGCGTTGCTTTGGCGCATTCAAAAACCAATAACTCATCGTTCATTTTCAATAGCATTTCGAGCCAAATAACAATGAAACCATTATTCAATTTTCAGTCGTAGCTTTTTCTTGTTCCGCTGTTCAAATATTCGATGTCACCTTTGGAAAGTATGAATCTACCTCTGGTCAGTACCTAGATGGGTGATCTCTTGGAAATACCAGGTGCCCAAATATCCCAGCTATGGGCTAATTAGTAAGACTTGTATCACTGAAAGCATTATTTTCTCAAAATTAAAAAAAAAATTACAGTCTAAAAATATTTTCTGCCTTTAAATAACCTGTAAAGTGTTGATAAGCCGTAGAAAAAGAATCAATCAGTGATTAGCTGCACAGGCATGTCTTTTAGATTGATTTACATTCTCTGAAATATAAATGTATAGAAACTACTGTGGTCACAAAGTGAGGGATCATTTTATATATTGATTGTAATATAAAATTGATTCCCCACTTTATATCCACATGATAATTTTTTTTTTGTTTATCAAATTCTGATTAAGTGTTAATACACGTCTTCTTCGCCAGCTATGGGTTAACTAGTATCATAAAAATCATTATTATCTCAAACAGATCTTACAATCTAAAAATATTTTCTGGCTTTAAATAACCTGCATGAACCCGTAGAAAACGAATGAATCAATCAATCAATCCAAGCTGTCTTACGAGGACGATGTTCAAGAGATGAGGTAAAAAAAAAAGTCATAATCGGAATTATCTTTATTATAAGTTGGGAACGATGCATACAAAGCGCGGGATCTTGGTTTCACGACAAACCTCCATTCCAAAGAAAGAGTTTTGCAAAGTCCTCATCGACATACCGTAATGGTGTGTTTTTCAACGCCGTCATGTTTTATGGATAAAAACATCATTTTACATTAAGGATGTGATTTGTGTCAGCTGCTCACGACATCATTCTCGTCGAATGCTGGTGCGATTAGCTTCTGGCTAGAAATCTTTTAGAGAAAATTAAAAAAAAAACCTACATAAATCAAATTCAGTCGATTTTTTTTATGAAACGCACTCTCTACGTTATCTTTTGGTGAGAAAAGTAGATTACAGAAAGAAGAAATGTTGTAGTCATTAATTGTATACAATTGGATTACACACACGCACAAACACACACACACACACATATATATATATATATATATATATATATATATATATATATATATATATATATATATAAAGTGTATTGAGGCAGCAGATCATTATTCAAACATATATTGTTAAATATAACAGACAACGAATGTCTATTATGTTTGATAATGAGCCGTTCTAAGCTTAGTATACTTGATTTAATTTCGTGTGAAAATAACGAATGTCTATTAAGTTTGATCATGAGCCGTTCTAAGCTTCGTATAGTTGATTTAATTTCGGGTGAAAATAACGAATGTCTATTATGTTTGATCATGAGCCGTTCTAAGCTTCGTATAGTTGATTTAATTTCGGGTGAAAATAACGGATGTCTATTATGTTTGATCATGAGCCGTTCTAAGCTTCGTATAGTTGATTTAATTTCGGGTGAAAATAAAGACAAAAATTGCCCAACATTTGCTTATTTTTTTTATTATCCTTTTCCTTGATCGAAGCTTTCGGCACAGAGTGCTTATATGGACAATTAAACAAAGATATTCACTATCAGAGATGATATACTGTTAGGTTGACATAGAAGATTGCTATGCGATGATAACGGTCGCGGAATAGCAGACGCAGGTCGTAAGTTCAAGATGCTGTTCTACTACGTCATACCACGCGAGAAAATTTTAGATTAACAGAACCATATGTCTAGATGCAATGTAATGTGTTGTGACTAATTTGAAATGCAATTTTGTTGAGTGTGGGTCGCTTTGTTTTAATATAGGTGGCCTTAAATAACCGAAGGTTCTTTTTACTGTGTGTATATGTGTGAGTATTGGTGTGTTATCAATTAATATATGTCTAATATTATGTACATGTCTATGTTTTTCTAAGAAATGTTGTTTAATAGAACTAATATCAGAAAGGTGACAGGTTAGTCTACGAGAGTGCGTGGTTGTAGTAAAACCAATGTAGTGAGTTTATTATTAGTGTCAGAGATACAATCTTTAAACAGGCATGTGAATTGATACATTACATTGTTTGTTGGTTTTTGTTTTGTTTTTTTGTTTTTTTGTTTTTTTGCTTTTTTGTTTTTTGTTTTTTTTTGTAGAGGATTTAGTTGTGCTGTTGCAGAGTTATTAGAGACTATGAGGTCAATAGTTTTAATTTTTTTATAATATAAAATGAGCTTAATTTGATTATTATTATTATTATTATTATTAATGTGTTTAACATTTCTGGCTATGTTTTTGAGTGCATGTTTTGTTTCATCGTGTAATTATTATGCATTTGGTTACAAAAGTATAAGTTAATAGTGTTATGTTTATTTTGACGACTCAAATATAATAATTTTATTATCGTTACAATTATTTTCAACTTTGTTAGAGGTATTATTAAGTTTATTGAGATACATTTTTTTTTTTTTTAACATACAACGTGTGTTAGCACGTGCGATACCCTGTCTTCATCAGCCGCCGACCAGGGGTGATCTCACGGTTTCGGTGGCTATGGCGGGACCGCCACCCCTAGCGCCACCAGCAGCGTTTGCCACCAGGCAGGGTATGAAGATAAGCTAACTAATTGTTCCTTTAAGTAAAATTTATCTGCAATGAAAGTTTCTTGAACGCGTTTGCTGTTATTGACGCGCTCGTAAAAGTCGTTATAAACGACCACGCAAATATCTCACTTGCGCATGTTAGGTCGGGATGTTGCGCGCATTCTATTTGCTTGTTTTGATCTCGACCAAATCCAACTTGACGCGTGTTGAACAGTTTTCTGAAGGCGATGCGAAACGCTTTTCAACCAACGGCCAGTGATGCCTATTTTTGAAAGGAAGGAAATGACCGAATGTCCCAGGAACCCACGACACCCAATCTCGATAGGCATCACGTGACACGTCCAACCATTTTCCATACACTCGGCACGCAGTGACTCGTACCGGTTTTTCTTTAGTTCGTGCGCCTCCACCCTGTTCTCTTCCCAAGGGACTGTTAGTTCTATTTTAATTTTAATTTGTTGATTAATGACAGAATTAGGGAATCCATCATTAACAAGAGTTTGTGGTAGACTTATAAGAATGTAAGATAGATTCCGATGAGAGAAATTGTCTAGCACGAAATGGTGAACCAACTTTCGTAGCTGCAACAACTGATTCCGTATATTCTTACCATTCCATGTCAAGTGACGAAAAGGAATAACTTGCATTATTATTTCTTTCCGAAAATTCTTCGCGTTCTCGTGAAATATTAGAACAATATATCTTTATTATTTTTAAGGCAAAGTTGAGACTGAAGAACGGTTGGAAGTACTTGGTAACCTTGATATACTTTGGAGGGATATTAGAATAATCCAAGACTTAAACAAACCGCCTGCATACGGATGGAAAATGAACAGTAAATATGCAAAAATATAAAGGGGTCTAATACTGTGTATTTTCCCCAGATTTCTTTAAACTATAATGACGAGATTCTAAATGAATTACAAGACCAACCTCTCCGTCTTTAGGCAGAGTGCTCTCAGAGGCGGCTCCATCAAAGGACAGAGTCGCAACTGAAGAAAATTATACTGAGACGTGCCCAGCCCTGGGGAATAGCCACTCGAGGCCTCGCCCTATCATTGCACGAAAGAAAGGGATCGGTGCTCGCACCGAGGCCAGCGCAACTGACGGTTGCGAGGGCTGCGGGCAATTTTTGTTCCTAGCCCGGGTGTACGCGCTCGGGCTCCCTACATTAAACTGACTTTGTGTCACAACCTGACCTCGTGGGGAGAGAGTAAATACAAATTAGAAGACCGACCACAATTTATTATTGGCGGCCACAATCTTAACAACATAAGATATGCACATAACACGGTGCAGAAAGGAAACTATAAGGTCCTTACAAAAGGTAGTGAAACCAAGCGAGAAGAAAGGGCTAAATATCAATTGCAAAAAAGACATAATGCCTGGTTGTCAGCAAAAAGGGCAACCCAACATGCAAATTACACATTGGGGGTGCCAAAATCAAACAAGTACAAACATTTAAACATCTAGGGAGTATTTTAACGGAGGGCGGAAAGTTCTTCCAAACTAAAATCCGAAAGCGCATTGAGATAGCGAAAGATGCCTTCCAAAAGCTAGGCAAAGTATTAAGAAACGGCAAAATTTCGTTTGAAACAAAGAAAAGAGTACTGGACTGTTTCGTCTCCTATATGGCAGGGAATGATGGATAATCTCCTCACGGATGAAAAAGAGACTTGTAGCAACATAAATGTGGTTCTACAAAAGGATGCTGAGAATACCATAGAACATGTGAGCATCGACAAACTTTTAGAGAAAATGAAAACAAAAAAGACAGTTATACTTAAACATCAGGAAGAGACGGTAAAACTTTCTAGGGCACGTTATGAGGAAAGAGGGCTTGGAAAATTTGATACTCACAGGACAGATTGAAGGCAAGAGGAACAATGGAAAGCAATGCAAATCCTACCTAGCGAGCTTCTATAAATGGATTGCAGAACAAAAGCTTTAGGAGAGATAGCAAAAAGAACTACAAAGGAGAAAACATGGGACACTTCGACGTGATGTAATGCCGATAACGTTTGTCTCGCTAGATCAATTACGACTGACAAGCGAGTACATCACGATAAAAAGGCTGTACGAGTTAAAATCAGCTATTTCACAACTACCTTACCAGCGCAGTAACAGTAAAAAGCTGTTACACCCATAGTCAACCTTGAATCTGTTAGATAAGATACTATGTTTGTTTATTCGTTGTAATCAGTGTAGAACTCTGTGCTCACGAACGTGTCTAGATTAGCGTTTCTTTAGCCTGAGGCGTGTGTAACTATAACCCGGAAGGTGTTTATCCCATTTTAAGGATATAAAACTTCGTGCTCATAAAAAAAAGCCACTGATTAATGAAAATTGCTGTTCTTGTTGCCAATCTCATCATTAGAGTCAGAAATTGTGGGACGGGATTATTGAAGATGACCCTGTTGGGCTTTTTTTTTTTTTCTTTTTTGTCTTGATTGATTCTCGGTTTCTGAAATGGATTTCCCATCAATTTCTCGTCGACCTTCTTGGTCACCAGCTTAATTGAGACAAAACAACTAATATCCGACAACAAGAGGTTCATCGAAATTCATTTAGAAAGAGGATCGAACAGAGATAGATTGATAGATATGAACCGAACGAAATACAAGTGAGATAGATAGATAGATAGATAGATAGATAGATAGATAGATAATGAAGAGACGAAGATAGATAGATAGATAGATAGATAGATAGATAGATAGATAATGAAGAGACGAAGATAGATAATGAAGAGACGAAGATAGAGATAGATAGATAGATAGATAGATAGATAGATAGATAGATAGATAGATAGATAATCGACGCACAATAATTCACACTAATTCGACTGGATAGAAGAGAAAGCAATAGACTGATAGATATGAAAAGAATGAGATAGATACATAGATGAACAGAAAGTAATAGATTGATACATATGAAAAGAATGACATAGATAGATAGATAGATAGATAGATAGATAGATAGATAGATAGATAGATATGAAAAGAAAGAAACACACTGACAGATATGAAACGAATCAGATAGATTAACAGAAAGCAATAGATTGATAGATATGAAAAGAATCAGATAGATAGATAGATAGATAGATAGATAGATAGATAAATGAACAGGAAGAAATAGATTGATAGATATGAAAACAATCAGATAGATAGATAGATGGACAGAAAGAAACAAATTGATAGATATTAAAAGAATCAGATAGATAGATAGATAGATAGATAGATAGATAAACAAAAAGAAATAGATTGATTGATAAGAAAAGAATGTGATAGATAGATAGATAGATAGATAGATAGATAGATAGATAGATAGATAGAGGGTGTAAAAGCGAAGAAAAGAAATAATCTTCAAACACAGCTCTATAAATTCAAATAATTTTATTACTGAGAGTGAAAATTTTTCTTTGTTTTTCTTAAAGTTGAAAAATAAGTTATACAGTTACTCGCTTAGTTGGTTTTTAGCCTTGCGTGTAGGAAAATAAACGCAAGCAAATTTCATGCGGCAATGTTTCATTTTTTACAACAAAAAAGATAAAAATGAATTGCGTTAGTATAGTGGGGAACGTATGTGTGTGATCGTGACGTGAAATGCCAAAATCTATGTGACGCTATGTGTGCATAGCGTATGTATCAGCAAAAACAGGTTGTCAAGCAATCAGCACAAATGATAACTAATCTTGAAATATGTTGTGTTTTGTTTATTTGTCGGTTTAAGTTTTCCTAGAATAAACTGTGCGAATAGGTTTCTGAAAATACTTTTAATACAAGTAATAATTTTGAAGAAGGAACTTTAGTACTTAGTATTTTTTTTTTTTTTTTTGGTGAGCCGAAAATTGGGAATTCAGTATTATTCACATCTCGCTCGAAGTATACTAGTAGACTAATTTATTAATTTAAATTACGCTATTCATAGGAAAATTACGAATCGCATGAAATTAAAAGACAGATTTATTAAATTTAGAAGATTTATTGGTTGATAAATATATTTCCCAATTTGTTTTAAATTGATTTTTAGTGGGGAAAAGATTGTTATTCATTTTCCTGACACCGCTATTTATACACCAGGCAGAAAACATATATTCATAAGTCCAGAGTGTCAGTAGTTACACATTTTCTTCCTATATGACACGAATACCATAAAAAAGTATATTTGGTTTGTGAGGATTCATAATTAGAATTCTGGTTTGAACATGTTTTCTATTCAATGTATCTAATGGAAAAATAGCAATTTATTTTGGATTTATTGTTGAAAGAGTAAAGTTTTGAAGTCAGTTTGTAAGCAAAAACCTTCGGAAATTAGGTAATTTCTGTACATTTTTTTCAGAAAATCTTCGAGGTTCAATGCTCAAAATTGGTAAAAGCTATGAATCTAATTTTTGGCGTCATTACTTATTACATCAAATCCGAGCTTTCGCAGTGATTGCAATATTGATTTTCTAAAAAAAAAAAAAAGAAGGTAAAAAAATCACCCTGCCCTATTATAGACCTTCAGAAAGAGAAAGCAATTTGCATATTATAATAACAAAATGGCGCAATCACTTCAGATTCTCCATTTCCTTCGACGATTTTACTATCACAATAATACATACAAAAGCCTGTTGAAGCAAATGGAAAAAAGTCCTAAATCATTCTACCTGATTATCGACAGGTGAAACCATGGTAGTATCTATATTTTTATTAATCATATTTGAGAATAAGAAAAAAGATAGTTATTACTTCAAATGGTATTGTAGTGGATACTCGTTTTTGAAATAGACGCTCCATTTTTACTTGTTACATTTAAACTGTTTTTATTTCGTCTCTCAGTCTGCGCATTCGAGAAAAGTTAATGAAGAAAATCTAACCTGCGACCCCCCTTCTGTAGAAGAAACTACCGTTTGATCTTGCTGGCTTTACCACACGGCTATTAAGAGGAAAAATTCATATATATATATAATTACAACCGCAAATAAATACCAAAAATCAAAACCTAAATCATCGACGCACAAGAATTCCCACTAATTCGACTGGATAGTTCTAATCAATAATCACTCCAGTCAGTAGCCTGACAACGCTATTTATACACTTGGCGGAAAACATATGTTCATTATTCATAAGTCCAGCTTATATTATATATATATATATATATATATATATATATATATATATATATAGTCATCCACAAACAGATTGCTTCAGCAGTGGGTTTCAGGCCGGAACCGATTCGGTATTAGTCGGTGATTCTAACCACTAGGCCATCGACGCCTGGCAGAAAGAAAGGCGAAATTTTGCGTATTTATTTTTTCATAAACACACCAGGGAACTCAATCGCTAGGAGAGTCTTGAGGAGAGCCTTGCATTATCAGCAGTAATAGTGACTGTTTACAAATTCGTTACTCCCCACAGTGCTCACCCTATTACATTATATATTAATATCGTCATCCACGGACAGACAATTTCGCTGTATCACAGTGTATAAGTGTGGCAAGACATCCGATTGCTTCAGGCTGATACCGAAACCCGACCGATTTCGTATCAGTCTAAGATTCTAACTCCTAAACCAACGAGAGAAAGGCGAATTTTTACGTATTTTATGTATTATTTTTTTAATTTATTTTTCATAAACAGATAGATAGATAGATAGATAGATAGATAGATAGATAGATAGATAGATAATGAACAGACTGAGATAGATAGATAGATAGATAGATAGATAGATAGATAGATAGATAGATAGATATTGAACAGACTGAGATAGATAGATAGATAGATAGATAGATAGATAGATAGATATGGATTAAATTCGAAAATATTTTCTCGAAAAGCCAGGCTGGTAAATGTAGTTAATACTGCATCTCGACAGAGTCGTGTGTTTCTTTCTCAAAATCGGTTTCGATGCTTGTAAATACGAATAAAAAGCAATTATTGTCTACCTTTTAACTCCATTGTGAACTGAATAAAAATCAACCTCTTGACTCAAATATAAACTAACCCTACGCCTGCTGCTTAACTTAAGTATAAATACTTATTGATTCAAGTACATACATAACCTAAATCTACTTTTTGACTCAAGTATAAACTGAACCTAAGTCTAACTATACACGCAAATATAAACTAGACCTGAGTCTACCTAAACACACAAGAACTGGACCCAAGTCTACCTATACACTCAAATATAAACTGTACCCAAGACTACCTATAAATTCAAGTATAAAATGGATCTAAATTTGTCTATACACACAAATGTAAACTGAACCTGAATCTACCTATACACTCAAGTATAAACAAGACCTAAGTCAACCTATACGCTGAAGTATAAACTGGACCTAAGTCTATCTATACACACATGTAAAATCTGGTCCTATATCTAACTATACATTCGAGTATAATCTGGACCTAAGTATACCTACATTCTCAAGTATAAACTGGACCTAAGTCTATCTACACACTCGAGTAAAATCTGGACCTAAATGTACGCACACACTCGAGTATAAACTGGACCTAAGTCTACTTACACACTCGAGTATAATCTGGACCTAAATCTAAGTACACACTCGAGTATAAACTGGAACAAAATCTACTTACACACTCGAGTATAATCTGGACATAAATCTAAGTACACACTCGAGTATAAACTGGACCTAAGTCTACCTACACATTCGAGTATAATCTGGTCCCAAGTCTACCAACACTCTCAAGTATAAACTGGACTTAAGTCTACCTCTTGACTCAAGTATAAACTGAACCTAAGTTTACCTCTTGACTCAAGTATAAACTGGACCTAAGTCTACTTACACTCGAGTATAATCTGGACCTAAATCTAAGTACACACTCGAGTATAAACTGGACCAAAATCTCCTTACACACTCGAGTATAATCTAGACCTAAATCTAAGTACACACTCGAGTATAAACTGGACCTAAGTCTACCTACACTCTCGAGTATAAACTGGACTTAAGTCTACCTACACATTCGAGTAGAATCTGGTCCCAAATCTACCAACACACGCTAGTATAAACTGGACCTAAGTCTACCTCTTGACTCAAGTATAAACTGGATCTAAGTCTACCTACACACTCAAGTATAAACTGGACCTAAGTCTACCTACACACTCAAGTATAAACTGGACCTTATTCTACCTCTTCTCAAGTATAAACTGAACCTAAGTCTACCTCTTGACTCAAGTATAAACTAGATCTAAGTCTACCTACACACTCAAGTATAAACTGGACCTAAGTCTACCTCTTGACTCAAGTATAAACTGGATCTAAGTCTACCTACACACTCAAGTATAAACTGGACCTAAGTCTACCTCTTGACTCAAGTATAAACTGGACCTAAGTCTACCACTTGACTCAAGTATAAACTGGACCTAAGTCTACCTACACACTCAAGTGTAAACTGGACCTAAGTCTACCTCTTGACTCAAGTATAAACTGGACCTAAGTCTACCTCTTGACTCAAGTATAAACTGGATCTAAGTCTACCTACACACTCAAGTATAAACTGGACCTAAGTCTACCTACACACTCAAGTATAAACTGGACCTAAGTTTACCTCTTGACTCAAGTCTTTTGAACTGGAGCAGAAGCTTATCCATTGTTTCCAGTTTATGATTGGGTTTCCGGTTCCTTCTAAATTTTTTTTTAATTTTCTTTTATCTCCACTAACCCCTTGCACCTTAGTGGTATTATTGCCTTACTTGGGGTAAACTGACTCAAATATTAACTGTACCTAATTCTACATATTGACTCAAGTATTAAATCGACCTAAGTCTTCCTCTTGATTCTGCTGTAAACCTATGTTTACACTTTTTCTCAATTGTAAAAATGACCTATCTCTATCATTCGTTTACAAGATAATTAGACTTTTCAAATCCACTAACTGTTATAGTTTTTTCTAATTCTGATGGAAATTTCCTATCAAATTTTCGGTTTCCTGTTATTCACCATTGACACTATTAATTAAGTTCTTTAAATTTTCCAATTTTCTGTAAGATGAATCGTTATATAATTTATACGTTGTGCTAAAGCTCGTACTGGAAGATTTTCCATTAACTTGATTCAAAAGAACATTAATATTAATACACAGCCAAAAATTTAGTTGCCAATTCTATAAATTTTTTCGCCATGACTTTTGAAATTGTCTAAAGACTTTGTGGATGCTCTGTATTTATAAGTATTTTTTCCTTACTTCTTTTTTTTTTACAAAGTCGTCTGTGTTTTTCAAGTTTTTTAATCCCAATTATATTTATCAATCAGCTTCAGTTGTCGCCAGTTTGATTAAAACAAAATATTAATAGCATATTTTTATTAATTTTCCAATGATGTATCTAACGTCACTGAACAAATTGAATTATTTCATTATCTTGTCCTGATTGTCGACCTTAATCATAATGCATATTCGTAAGATAAAATTCCTATGTGTGTGTGTGTGTGTGTGTGTGAGTGTGTGTGTGCGAGTCTGTGTGTATGTTTATGTGTGTTTATGTGTCTGTATATATATGTGTGAGTATATAATACATATACCCACACATATATATATATATATATATGTGTGAGTGCATATATATATATATATGTATATGTATATATATATATATATATATATATATATATATATATATATATATATATATAAACACCTAAATATACATGTGGATGACTATATATATATATATATATATGTATGTATATATATATATATATATATATATGTATTTATATTATATATATATATATATATATATATATATATATATATATATATATATATATATACATGGCCACCTCGAGGCTGTGTAATGGTTAGCAACTTGTTTCGATTGAGTAGCGTGTTCAATTCTCACTGGATGCCTCTACTTTCGGCCTTGTGCCACATCTAAGCTACCCTTGGAAAATCACTATACATACATACATATATATATATATATATATATATATATATATATATATATATGTAACTTATTATTTTTTAAATATATCACACACGCGTAAAATATAGGAAAAACAAAAGAAGTTGGTAATGAAATTGGAGTCTATACGAAAATATATTTAGACTAACTTTACAGGTTTCAGTGTTCTTTGATTTTCAAAAGTAACGAAGATGGAGAATTCTTTACGTTTTATGGGAAGATGGGATCTGTTTTTTATCTATTTAAAATACAATGTAGTTGTTTGGTTAGTAATAGTAATTTTTGTGCCAAAAATTGATGATCATTAAATTTTATCGTCAAAAATTGGGAGTGTCATGGTTTAGTGAACCTGACTATTGACATGAAATTGCTAAGTAGTTCAAGTGTGAGACATTCTATTTCATTGAACCTTAGAGACAATCCCAAATTCAATGTACAATAATTAGATTTGTGTGTGTGTGTGTGTGTGTGTGTGTGTGTGTGTGTGTGTGTGTGTGTGTGTGTGTGTGTAGAAATAGTTTTAGCGTTTTAATGTCAGAATGTTGAGGATAAAGTGACAACAAGTAAAGACGATAATAGTAATATAATGGCAGATCATCAGGATAACGATAATGGCGACAAAACCAACAAGAATAGTATATAAGTTTCTATTTTTATCTGCAAAAGAAGCCTTCCGAAAAGCTAAGCAAAGTATTAAGAAACAGAAAAATTTTGTTAGAAGCAAAAAAAAAAAAACAGTAACGAACTATTACGTAATATCAGTCCTCCTATACGGCAGTGAATGCTGGACAATCTCCTCACAAATGAAGAAAAGACTTGAAGCAACTGAAATGTGGTTCTAGAAAAAGATGCTGGGGTTACCGTGGACTGAAAATGTGAACAACGATGAGGTTTTATAGAAACTTGAAACACAAAGGACACTTATCGATAACATCAAAAAGGGACAGTTGAAAATTCTGGTGTACGTAATGAAAAAAAGAGACAAAATGTATGGCTGATAGCAAACTTTAATGCCTCAAAAACAAAACTGCTCTCTATTAATCACCACAGAGATCCTTCCCTGCCCTCCATTAGAATGTCTGACGCTCAAATTCTCGAGAGCACCTCTCTGCGGCTGCTCGGTCTCACGTTGACTGCTGACCTGAGATGGAACAAATACATTGAGTCAATTGCTTCGTCCACCGCAAGGAAAGTTGGCTCCCTATGCCGCGCCAGGAAATTTTTCTCCCCGGAATCGATCCTCCAGATCTACAAATGAACAATTCGCCCTTGCATGGAGTATTGCTGTCAGATATGGTCTGGAGCCCCCTTCTGTTTGCCTCGGGGTTCTTGATAGGCTCCAGAGGCGGATATGCAATATAATTGGCCCTGCTCTGGCATCTCGTCTACAGTCACTTTCTCACAGACGCGCCGTCGCCTCTCTCTGTCTGTTTTACAAATACTTTCATGGTAATTGCTCCGAGGAGCTTCATTCGCTGGTTCCCAGACTTCATGAGTTCAAGCGTCCTACGAGGCTGGCATCCCGCTCTCACCCTTTCACTGTCGAAACTCCTAAATATAGCCGTCTCTTCTACTCCAATAGCTTCATGTCTCGCACTTCTCGACTGTGGAACTCCCTTCCCTATTTCAGTTTCCCTGATAGCTATAATCTCCAACTATTCAAATCTAATATCAATCAACGTCTCCAGTTGCCTTGATCTATACCCTATCCTTCTCCTCATCCTTTCCTCTATCACTCCTACCTGATCTTGCTCCAAATTTTCTGTAACCCCCTTGCGTCCTAGTGGCTTCTCGCCTTGCTTGGGGTGAAACGCTTAAAAAAACAAAACCCAAAAAGGAACAGCTCAATATGCCAAGCACAAATTGTATATACAAAATTCAAACCAGTACAAACATTTAAATATCAGGGAAGTGTTTTAACAGAGGACGGAAAGTGCGACACTGAAATCCGGAGGTGTTTTGGGATAGCGAAAGATGACTTCTAAAAGCTAAGCAAAGTATTACGAAACAGGAAAATTCCGTTAGAAACAAAGAGGAATGAAAAAAAAATAGATACCAGTAAAGTTTAAAAAGCAATTCATTAGAATTTATGCTTAACATAGTGTGACACAAGGCTTTGAAAGATGAGCTCCCATTTAGTCTATATATTTTTATTAATACATATTTCTACTCCTGGGAAATGTTTTAATATGGGACAGAAAGGGCGACACTGAAAACCGAAGGCGCATTGGAATAGCGAAAAATGCCTTCCAAAAGCTAAGCAAAGTATTACGAAACAGTAAAACTTCTATATCTGTCTATATCTCTGATATGTGGTATTATGATTTACATTATTCGGACTCTTATCCTCATCTTCATTGCTATATTCACACCGTTTCGGCAGTTGTACGCTCCCGGCTTCTTCAGATGCTTGGAATTTAACTTAAATCCAGTGACTAGACCCAAAGAGTTGTGAGTTCAATACCAGGCTACAACAGTGGTGAACCAAAAAACTTGGAGAGTTGAGTTAAAAGAAAATAACTGAGACATCCGGAAGAGGCGTGGCACGTGGAACTAGAACAATCTACCCCGGTGGATGAAATAAAGGGTTCGGTTCGAAATTTCAATCACCTGAAGAAGGCCGGAGCGTACGGCGGCCGAAACGTTGTTAATATGGCAATGAAGATGGGGATACCAGTCCTAATAATGTAATGTAAATAATGTAAGTAAAACTTCGTTAGACGCAAAGCCAAGAATACTGGCCTATTATATAATATCAGTCCTCCTATATGGCAGTGAATAATTGGCAATCTACTCACAGATGGTGAAAAGACTTGAAGCAACTGAAATGTGGTTCTACAGAAGGATGCTGAGAATACTATGAACCGAACATGTGAGCAACGTCGTAGTTCTAGAGACAATGGCAACAAAAGGGACACAGCAGGAAGAGACAGTTGAAATTCCTAGGACACATAATAAGAAAAGAGGGCTTGGAAAATCTGATACTCAAAGGACAGGCTGAAGGCAAGAGGGAGAGATAGCAATAAGATCAAATTTATTAAGAGTTACGAAAGACAGGAAATTGTGGAGAGCCATGATCGCTCATGCCCTGAAGGAACATGACACATGGATGACGAAGAAGAAGTTTTTGTAAATGGATGGCAGATCAGTGTTTAGGAGAAATAGCAAAAAGATAAAAATTATTAAGAGTTACGAAAGACAGGAATCGCCTACGTCCAGAAAAGACACCGCGGAAAGAAGAAGAAGAAGAAGAAGAAGAAGAAGAAGAAGAAGAAGAAGAAGAAGAAAAGATCGAGTAAATGTATAGTGCAGCAAGGTTTAGGCGAGATAACAAAAAGACAAAACTTATTAAGAGCCATAAAGGAACGGAAATTGTGGAGAGCCTTGATCGCCAATGTTCTGGAGGGACACGATACAAAGAAGAAGGAGAAGAACAAGCTTGTGTAAATGGTTGTCAGAACCGGTTCAGGAGAAATAACAAAAAGACAAAATTTATTAATATCTAGGAAGGACAAGGAGTTGTGGAGAACCATGCACGCCAACGTCCTGAAAAGACACAGCCCAGAGAAGATTATTTTCTACATTTCTTACTGCAAGATAAAAAAAAAATGAAGACGAAGAAACGAAAGAAATTCTTTTTAAGATAAATAAAAATCTGCAAATTAAAAAAATAAAATCTCAAATGTATTCACGTATACAGATAAATGAATGAAGAGATTAAATCGAGATGGGGAGGTTCGGTTGATTTATTTGTTTAACGGCACCAAATTTGAGAGATTTGAATTAATAAAAATGTGATATATGTTATTCTGCTTTCACAATTGAATACATGGTAGATGATACTCAGCTTTTTCGCATAAACATGTTTGCATGGACATAATTACTAGAGGCGGTGATATGTGTGTTTTATGTTGTAGTTTTGTTGAAGTTATATTTTGGAATACAGTTTGATTTCTTTAAGAAATTGTAGAACATTGATTAATGGGAAAGGTATGAATCCTCTTCTTCTATGGGTAAATAGCAGGATAGTCCGGGTTCTATAGCCTTGAAAGGCAACTGGTCTACAGCAGAAAGAAATGGCAACCTAATGCGGGAAAATATCTGCTTGGTCAGTCATGTATCGAAAGATGCATGATCGCCTAAGCGTGTATCACGCATGGCATATAACTGACTGAATTATGCTCTAAATGTATTGTTAGTAATTCTACTATAAATATGTTAGTAATTTTTTTTTATATGCAATAATCTATTGCTGACATTTTTACTATAAAAATTTATTTTTATAATTTCATAGTGTTTGGGGGTTCATAGCTGGGACCCTAACAGGTTCTCCCACCCGGGTCAGGATGGGCCTATGAGCAACAGCAGTTAAGAGGTGGCTCCACGCTCCTCAAAACCTCCAATCTCCCAATCAGAGACCTTGCTGCCGGATGTAGTTTGTCATTATAACCAGGACTGAGAGGGAGATAAGGACACAGAGAAATGGGCGGTGAATTATTTGAATAAAGCAAATGGTAAAAGGAAATGATGTTGACACTGAAGGGATTAAAAAAACAAAACAAAAACGCACTTGAATGTTTAGACTTTATATTCAATACTTTTTAATTAAATTAATTAAATTATTCTTCTCTAGAATTACCTCTGTCCAGCGAGAACAGAAACAAGACCACTGCGTTCTCATCTAACCTTCCGAGCGATAGATAAAATTATTTCCCAATTAGTTTTCGTCAACGAAAATATATTTGTTTACCTAAATTTTCAACAGTGACAAACTGTTCTCCATCCTTGGGCCAATCGCTATCTTAGCGAAAATATAAACCAGATCACCCGCCGATTTCCATAATCCTAATCCTCACATTCACTGTTTTCAATTCTCAATTCGTTTTCACCAAAGAAAATATAATTTCCTGCTGTCTCTCTTCTGGCCAATGACTTGTTTTTTCTACTTTCCCAAGAAAAAGGAAAAGCGATTTCCCAATTTGCTTTACTCTCATGCCAGATTTTCGACAGATAAAAAAAAGGAAACTCTTGAGGCATCGTTCCAATTCGTAGGGGGCAGACATATAGATGTCAGATGCGAGTTTCGTTTCTGGATGAAACCAATTATCCTTCATGTAGATGAATTAAAACATGAACGTGTGTTTGCAGATTTTATAAGCACAGGATTAGTTTCGGGAAATTATAGAAACACATTCACATGGAATTTGGTTCTCTGTGTCGTGCCAGAGGGTTTGTTTTTATCGTCTGTGTCCATCCTTCACATCTGCAAATATACCATTCGTCCTTGCATTGAATATTGTTACCATATATGGTCTGGTGCCCCTGCTGTTTATCTCGAGGCTCCGGACAAAATCCAAAGACGGATCTGCAATGTCCTGACTTCGCACGTCGACTCCAGTCACTTTCTCACAGACTTGATGTGGCTTCCCTCTGTCTTTTTTACAAATATTTCCATGACAATTGCTTTGATGAGCTATTTTCACTGGTTCCCCGACTGAATTAATTAAAGCGTGGTAATAGGTTGGTATCTAGGACCCACCCCTTTATTGTTGAAACAGTTAAATGCAACCGCCTCTTCTACTGCAACAACTTTTTCTCGCGCACTTCCCGACTGTGGAACTCCCTTCCGTTTACTTGCGTCCCTGATAAATACAATCTTCAAAAATTTAAATGTAACGTCAATCGTCATCTTCTGCTGTTTTGATCCCTGTTTTTCTTTTTATCCTTTCCTTAATCCCCCACGTATAATCTATCTTTTAACTTCACTCTCTGTAACCTCTGCGTCCTAGTGGCACCCCACCTTGCTTAGAGTGAAATGCTGAAAAAAAAATTTATTTTAATTCTCGAGTTTATTTGACATTGTTTTACCACAAAATATTTACTTCAATAAAATTTCGTATGAAAAGATACAGTGAATATATTATATGAATTAAAAAATCCTCCCTTATATTTCTTGCCTATATAGACGCATCTATACCTTTTTTCGGAGATAGATAGATAGATAGATAGATAGATGTGTGTGTATCGGACTGTTGCTATGGTATACATACATACACACACACACACACACACACACACACATATATATATATATATATATATATATATATATATATTCTGTTTATACATTATTTTAATAGATACAATATATTTAAGCAAATTCTCTGTTTTTTAATTAAACAGTATTAATTACATTTACCGACCTGAATGTTCGAGAGATTTCATAGAAATTTGTGACAAATGTAATTTTTAAAATGCCTAGGCGAAAGGGCGTATTTTTTTCTCGTCATTAAATTCAATTCTCTGACTCCCTCCCACTTCACTAGAATTACCTCTGTCCAGCGAGAACACAAGCAAGACCACTGCATTCTCATCCAACCTTCCGATCGATAGATAAAATTATTTCCCAATTTGTTTTCGTCAACGAAAATATATATTTGTTTACCTAAATTCTCAACAAAGAAAGAAACTGTTCTCCATCCTTGGGATGATCGCTATCTTAGCGAAAATATAAACCAGATCACCCGCCGATTTCCATAATCCTAACCCTCATATTCCCTGTTTTCAATTCTCACTTCGTTTTCACCAACGAAAATATAATTCCCGACTGTCTCTCTTCTCGCCAATGACATGTATTTTTTCTAATTTCCCAAGAAAGAGGAAAAGCGATTTCCCAATTTGCTTTACTATCATGCCAGATTTTCGATAGATAAAAAAAAAAAGTAAACTCTTGGGGCATCGTTCCAATTCGAAGGGGGCAGACATATAGATGTCCCTTTTTTTTCCACATTACCAGGGAAAATGTCTTCTCTCTCTCTCTCCCTCTCTCTCTCTCTCTCTCACTCACTTTCTCTCTCTCTCTCTCTATCTCTCCATCTATATTATATTTCATTTTGACCATAACTCCTTTTCTGCTTAGAATTAATATTTAACCACATCACTGCCTCAGTGTAACAATACGACATCTTTTTCTGTCCCTATATCTGTTCCGTGCGTATCAGAAATTTTCAAACCCACCTCCCACATTATATGCCCTAGAAACCTCAACTGCCTTTTCATTATGTTAAGTATTAGTTTCCTTTTAGTTTCCATTTTATCCAAAACTTCGTCGTTACTTATATGTTCGGTCCATAGTATATGCAGTATCCTTCTGTAGAACCACCAAGTCTCCTCTTCATGTTTGATTAGATCGTCCAGTAGTCACTGTCATACAGGAGGACAGATATCACGTAATAGTTTAGTAGT